TATAACCGAAAATACCCAATAAATACACAACTTGAATTTGTTCATAAGAGATTAAGAAGAACTACTCCCCCTCAAAATGTACATCGTGATTGTTTCCTTTGCCAAGAATTTCACATTAGCTTGAAGCTGTAATTGGGACTCCATAATAAGTTATTTGCTTTGTTTGAACCTGCAGAAGATTTTAAAAAAACGAGAGCCCTAGAGCCATGCACACGCAACTTGCAAACAACTCAGCAAAACATAAAAAAAAAAAAAAAAAAAAAAAAAAAAAAAAAAAAATCAGGAATTTTCAATTCTCAATTCGAGTCAAACAAATTATCAAATAAAACAGTAAGCACATTCATGTAATGCAAGTCAAAGATTCAAAATAAATCAAATTCAGACACAGACACATATGAACCAAATTTAGGCACAGATTCAGACCAGATATCACGGAAAACACACAAATAAATAATTGAGGCACAGATAGCACGGGAAACACATGAATAAACACAAATATGGTCATGACCCGACCAAACAAACCACAATCACATAAACATAAAGTAATGCAAGAGAATACACACATTAATCAAATTGCACCAATTAAACGAACAAAAATGAACACTTTAATCCATGCAAATTAAACGAGCACTTTAAAGAGTAACCCAGGCAGATTAAATGTAAAAAGGACATGTAGTGAACATACAGAAACAGATAATAATCAAACATAAAGAGTAACCCAGGCAAATTAAACGAACTCTTTAAAGATAAAAATTAAACGAACAAGTAAAGAGAATGAATCCAAAATGATCAAATGTACCTGATGTGTGAATAAATTCAGAGATACACACATGTAGAAGTTGGAATGAATAATTCATGTTCAATTTTAAAGCCAGTCACATAAAATAAAAGACAAAATTCATCTTAGGCACATTTAAAACAGAGAGAAAAAAAATATAAATGGCAAACGAAGACTGCGAAAGAAGGTTGCCAGTAAAAAAATGTAACACATTAGGATTTTCAAACTCGGGTATTGAGGTAATACCAATTAAAGGAGGAGGGTTAGAGTGTGTACCAACTTCCTGAGTGTTTGAAGCTTTTAAAGTACTAAGGAATTGTTCTTCGTTAAAGTCTTCTTCCTTCGTAAGTTTTGCGGGACCCCTTTGTTTTTGTTTTTTTTGTTTTTTTTTTTTATCTGGATGGGACTGGTATAGTTGGAGATTCTGCAAGTGTTCGTGACCGAGTACCGTTGATGTTTACGGTCAGATTGAGTTTCTACATCATCCAAATGTGACATCCTCCTCTTTTCTGCAGTACCTGAAACATACATTTTCTCCTTTCCCATTGTGAGGAGAGCCGAGAGACACAGGTTCTGGTAGAGATGAATCTGAGACAGCGGCTGTCACAGAAGGAATTGTCCAGGGTGCAGCGGAGATGTGGCGAGCCAGGGCAAGCATTTGTCTATGTTCTTTGTCTGTGAGCCCTTCAAGAAGAAAAACATCCGATTTGATTGTGGCAAGAACCCTATCAGTAGCTTCAGTAGATAAGGGAGACTCGACGTCTATGATTTGATGAAATAGCGTGTGCCTTTCAGAAGTTGAAATGAAGATGAGAAAAGGATTTTCCATTTGAGAAGGTTTCAAGAAGCAACAATGGTGGAAACAGATGGATTGAGAGAGATGGGGAAGATGATGATCTCGGCTTAAGCGTAGTGGAGGCAAGGGAAGAGACAAAAAAAATTAATTGTGAGGGGATGTCTTCTAAAAAGCCGTGTAGTGATGGGATGGGTAGAAGGCTTAGGTGATAATGTAGGCTATTGAGTAGGAGTAGGAGAGAGAATATGTGTTTGTCTTGAATTAATCTTCTATATGTAACACACAAAAGAATAAGATGGGAGTATATAAAAAAATCGAACATCTGAGGATGTGAACAATGGCCGAACCACCCTGTTATCCCTACATTAACACTCACGTAGAAAAAGAATTAACTGTTAAAAAAAATAAAATGAAAGAAAAAATTTTTTACCTGTGCAAGGAAATTAGATAGTAAGATTGCCTACGCCAGTCACCTGACCTTTGACACCGTCACCAAAGGTAACTTCACCTTTACTGATATTTACGTTGTTCAGGAATTTGACATTTCCTGTCATGTGAATGGAACACCCGCTGTCAAAATACCATTTCTCTTCTCTTCCTGCACTTTTAGAGTGAAACGAAACAAACGGTATATAATCAGTCTTTTTAACCCAATTTTTTTTTGTGAAAAGTTGTATGTTCTTGTGCCTGAACTTCTCGATTCTTTGATCCTTGTAGAAATAGTAGCATTCAGGTCTGGTATGACCGCGTAACCTACAATAGTGGCAAACAGGATTATATAGTTTATAATGCATCTTATTTGCGCTTACTTTACCATAGGGGAATTTCATAGTGCTGGATTCAGGGATGTCATCTGGATCAGATCCGGACGCTTTGACAAATATGGTCTTATCTTTGGAGTTACTTCTAGTGAAGCCCAAACCAAATTTTGTAGAAGATTTCCTGCCGGAATCAAGAATCTTATCAAGTGTTGAAGTGATATCCATCATTTGGATTTGTCGTTTGTAGGTGCTGAGCTCCTGTTTCAAGTTCTGAACTTCTTGCTGGAGTTTTGCTTCTCGGTCAGCTGCCTCCTTAAGTAGTACATTTCCAGTTTGTACTTCGTTTTGTAGTCTTTCCTCTCGATCAGCTGCTTCTTTAAGCAATACATTCCTATCAACTACTTGGGTTTGATATACTTTATTTGCATTGGTTACAATCTCTATTTCACTAGCTAGTTTGCAGTTCATTTTTCTTAATGCTTCCCATTTGGGATACAACTTATTAAACTCGGCTTCAAAAGATAAAGCATTTAGTTCCACATCTTCTGCTGAGACATATTCACCACCTTCTGAGTCTTCAACGGGTTCTGAACTGCCAGTAACTCGTGCCGTAAATGCAACAAAATTACCCGAAATTTCATCGACATCTGACCCAGTTGGTTCAACGTCGGGCTCGTCATCGCTCCAGGTAATGGCTAACATAGACTTTTTGCGTCGAAGATAGGTGGCGCACTTAGCTTGTACATGTCCAAATCCCTCGCATTCATAACACTTGATGCCTTTGTTGTTGGACCTTTCTTTGGACTGTCCTGGACGTGAGATAGACTGTTTGGCGTTTGACGCCCCTGTCCTAGGTGCAGTCTTGAATGACGTTGCTCCCTTTTGTGAATTTCTGTTGCGTGTGTTTTTGGATACCTGTTTCAAAATTTTGGAAAACTGTTTAGTTAAGAACGCAACTGTATCATCACTAATTTCATCTGTATCGGATGCTACATTATTTTCTTCAGCGGCAAAAGCAATATTTTTTTGTTTTTTTGTATGATCAGTTAAAATCTCCATTTCATATGTTTTAAGATTTCCCATTAATTGAGTAACAGTTTTGTTCTCCCAGCCGTCGTGTTCCTGAATAGCTGTGACTTTCATTCTGAACCTCGGGGGCAAGGATCTCAGTATTTTCTTAACAAGCTTTGCTTGCGAGAATGGTTCTCCAAGGACCATTGCACGATTCGCCAGTTCCTGTACGCGTGTGTGAAAGTCGATGACTGTCTCATCCTCATTCATGCGAAGTTCTTCGAATTCTGACTGGACCAGTTGCAGCTTTGACTGTTTTATTGATGTAGTTCCTTCGTATGTAGACTCAAGAGCCTCCCAAGCACCTTTAGCTGAAGGAATACCTGCAACAATTGAAAACTGGCTTTCATGCATAAGAGAATAAATTGTGTCTAAAGCCTTATCATTGTTTCCTGCATTGGTTATCTCTGTTTGAGTCCACTCAGTCTCTGGCTTAGTGACTTCTATTCCATCAGTGCTGGAACTGGGGTTTAGTGGGATGTGTCCAACCTGACACCACAGACCGCCATACGGCTTCACCTTTAGCTTTTAGATGCGTACGGGTGCGAGCCTTCCAATATGCGTAGTTGTCGCCTGTCAACTGGGGAAGGACTTTAGTTCGATCCATTCTGTAACACTTAACACCCCGTGAGATCAAACAAATAAGTAATAAACAGATAAATAATAAAAGCCGCTGAAGATATGAATTCAAGAGGCACGGAATCGCCAGATCGATAGACTAATAAATTAAGTCTACAGGCTCTGATACCAATTGAAATTGCACCGTGACATTTGAAATATAAAATCTATGTGTTTTTACTTGTTAATTAAGTTATGCACCAATTTAGTTAATTAATTAAACTCGTTTACGCAAGTATAAATAATAACTACAGAAAACATAAAGTAAATTAAAAAACACAAGGAAATTGTTACGCAGTTCGGAGCTCCTTTTCCTACGTCTGCGGGGCAACCCACTTCTGCCCAATCCACTATAGATGTTTACCAAAAGGAGTATTACAAGAGGTAAATGAAGACGGCCTCCAGCCTTTACCACTACCACTCTTTCTAACACCTATCTAGGTCTGACACACGAATACCCAAACAATCTTCACAAGTTGCTTCAGCAGTACCACGTATTGACCATGTAGTACAGTTTAAATACTCTTACAAATTAAATCATAAATCTCATTAAAACATAAATAGCTTTGTAAATTCAGGATAACTCTCGTAATGTGTAATAATCAAATTGACAATGTCTTCATTCGAGCAGTGTGCTTTTATAGTACTTTATGAGCCTTTTGTTTGATCCTCAATCGTAGCCTTTTCCTTAGCCTTCCACTGTTCGAATAAGCCACAGCCACTCATTTTATTTCTTTGAATGCTTCATTCATAGTCTTTAATCTCTAATGCATGTCATCCACTTATTTTGTAACCACATGGTCCAAAACATAAATAATTCTAACAACAGTAATTTAATTTAAAGCTAATGAGACTAAAAATAAAATAGCCAATTTTGTGTAAATTATTTTACACTTACCTAAACAATATATCCCTAACGTACTGCCTGCTTATATATATAGTTGTTAATTGCAGTAGTCGTAGAGCATACAACAAAACCTATACATAATACTGCTAATCCAAACAAAGCTGATGATGAGGATTTGTGGTTCTTATCTCCCGTGGCTTCTGTTCCTTTTTATTATTATTCAATATTCAACTGGGTGTAGCGGCTGCTTTGAGAATGAGAGAAATGCCCTTCTGAGCATAAAACACAGCATTATTTCTGACCCATTAAGCTCTCTTTCCTCATGGGGAGATGATGATGATGACTGCTGCAAATGGAAAGGAATTGGTTGCGATAACACAACTGGTCATGTTGTTGCTCTTACATTGGGGAATGGCTTAAGAGGTGAGATCAACTCTTCGTTGCTTGATTTACCGTTTCTCAATTTCTTGGATCTTAGTTCCAATGAATTTGAAAGAATTCCGAGTTTCATTGGCTCTCTGGACAAGTTGGTCTATCTTAATCTTTTTTTTAATAATTTTTCCGGGAATGTCCCTCTTCATCTCGGAAATATTTCTACTTTGAAATATCTTAACCTTGGTTCCTACTTTCATTCTCAATTAATAGTTGACACCTTGGAGTGGATTTCTCCTCTTTCTTCCTTGGAGTATCTCAATATGGATTATGTAGACCTTCATTCTGCTACAGATTGGCTTCAGTCAATTTCAAAGCTTTCTTTGCTGAGAACACTAAGCCTATCTTCCTGCTACCTTCCAAGTCCCCCATCATCACTTTTGCACATCAACTCTTCTAGCTTCCTACAACACTTGTCTTTACAGGATGGAAATATAGCAACTTTTCCCCTACTGAATTTGTGGCTAAACCAAAGCTACTTCCTTGAATCTCTTGACCTCTCCGGTAATTCTTTGGTAGGTGGCGATAAGGACATCAAATTCTTGAGGAACCTTGGCAATTTGAAAACTCTGGATTTATCATTTAATTCTTTTTCTTTCAACTTTTCACAACCGATTTTAGGTTCTGAGAAATTGATAGAAAAGTTGAAATTAAATGATAACAAAATTGTCGGATCCATCTCTGAAATCAGCTTCTCTAATTTTACCAAATTGGATGAGCTCATCCTGTCTGATAACTCTTTGACAGTGAATTTAGACACCCACTGGATTCCCCCATTTCAGTTAAGCAGTCTACGCCTCAGATCTTGTGAGTTGGGCCCCAAATTTCCTAATTGGATCCAGACACAGACAAAACTGAATATCCTTGATATCTCAAATAATGGAATTTCAGATCTCATTCCTCAATGGTTCACCAACCTATCCAACTTAGAATATTTGACTGTTTCTCAAAATAGAATTCAAGGAAAATTACCAAATCTACCACCATTAGTTTTCATAGTAGACTTTAGTAGCAATTTGCTAGAAGGTCCTATACCAAAAAATTATTCAAAAATATCAACACTGAACCTTTCCAAAAACAAGCTTTCTGGAACCATTTCAGTTATGTGTACAAATACTTCTAAATTGTATTTTAAACTTGACCTTTCAAACAATTTCTTTACAGAGAAAATTCCTGAATGTTTGTGGAAATTGAATGACTTGAATATGTTAAACTTGGCAAATAATTACTTCTTTGGTGAAATCCCCTTATCCATAGGACACTCAAAAATTATGAACTCACTACATTTGAGAAACAATAGGTTTTATGGGGAATTTCCTGAGTCTCTAAAAAATTGCACTTTATTGATTGTTTTGGATCTCGGAAATAATTATTTAACTGGGGGTATTCCTGCATCGATCGGGGCAAGCTTAAAATTGTTGGAGATCCTTTGCCTGGATTCAAATGAACTAAAAGGATCAATCCCAAATAATATCTGCCAACTTCAATCCATTCACATAATGGATTTGTCTTCAAACCATTTTTCTGGATCCATTCCAACTTGCTTCAATTCATTAATGACTACAAATGATGAGTTGATGCCAGAGGAGTATTTTGATACGTTTGAAGATCCTCTCGAAGAAGTGTTCTTTGATTATGAATGGCTTATGTGGAAGGGTATAAAGGAGGAGTATGGTAAGAACCTCAAATTCATGAAACTCATTGATCTCTCAAGCAATAAATTGGTTGGAGAAATCCCAGCTAAGATAACTGATTTGCATATGCTTAATTCACTAAACCTGTCAAGAAACAAACTGACCGGATCCATCCCAGATAAGATTGGTGAGATGAGGTCGCTAGAGAGTCTCGACCTGTCAAACAATCAACTTTCTGGAGCAATACCACCGAGCCTTGCTAGTATATCATTTCTTGCTCACTTGGACTTGTCGAACAACAATTTGTCTGGTTGTATTCCACTCGGCACTCAGTTGCAAGGATTCAGTGAGGCTTATCAGGGAAATTCAAAGCTACGAGGGCCTCCACTTCCAACAAACTGTCATAGAGATGAACCTAGAAATGCTCCACAACAAGGGGGAATTGATGAAATTGAAGAAGATGAAGGATGGATAATTTGGGGCTTTGACTTCTTTGTGAGTTTGATACTTGGATTCATTCTTGGTTTTTGGGGAGTATGCGGAACCTTAATACTCAAGCGTTCTTGGAGACATGCATACTTCCAATTTTTAGAAGACAAAAAAGAGAAGATTTGCACTGCCATTGTGGTCCTTGGAGCCAAATTGAAGAGAGGCATGAGAGCTAACTAGCTCGATTGAAGTAAAAGGTAATATAATTAAGATTCTAAAATTTTCATTTGAAATTACAATATATTTTCGTTTAGTAATAATGATTAATAAATATATATATGGCAATGCATTAAAACAGGATCAACTCATCTCCTTGAGCTGCAGGAAGTACGAAGACCATTGGAGTACCTCCGATCCATGTCATTCTAAATAAAGTTCAATCATGTGTATTTGTGTGTTTGTATTCATATTTCAAGTCATATAATTCTATTTTGTTCTGTATTGTGTATATTGAGGTTCTACTATATATCATCGTAGCCTGTCTTGTAAGGTGGACTATTGACATAAAGTTCATTTTAAATATACCGAAGTTTCATTTTTAAAATATTTAATATTACTCTTTTTTTTCTGTGCAAAAATTAAAGTTCATTTTTAGGTATACTAACAAAAATTGAATATTCAATAAATTAAAAATTAACTTTCAATATATTAAAAATGAACTTGATGTAAGTGGTCCACCTTGTATCATGGTCCATAGTTTAATTTTCCGAGTTTCTATAATAAATATCTTTTCTTAAAAATTCATGTTGTTTCCAACAACATTCAAATAAAACTACTATACTTTAGGCTATTTTACCATGCAACGATTTCAATCAGCAGAAATAACATCACAAAATATGGCTAAAATAATTAAGTTTGTTTGGGAGAAGAAAATAATTAAGTTTGTTAGAAACACATCAAGACTTTGTAGCAGCATGGGATCTTAGCAACAACAAGGCTTGAGAACAAACACAATTTTTTGCGTAGCTCGTCTTGGAAGTACGGCACCAACCTTCTGCATTGTTTTCTTTCTTAAGATGGGTGATTTGTATGCTTAAGGTGAGTCAATTGTTCAAACTTAAGGTGCGCCATTTTTAAACTTTAGGTGTGTGATTTGTTTTCTTAAGGTGCTTTGCTTGTATGCTTAAGGTGAGTGGTTTGTGTACTTAAGGTGCGTCGGTCTAAAGCTTTAGGTGCACGTGATTTGTGTTCTTAAGGTACTTTGTTTGTGTGCTTATGGTGCGTGGTTTGTGTACTTAAGGTGCGTCGACCTAAAGCTTTAGGTGTGTGATTTTCCTTCTTAAAGTGCGTTGTTTTCCTTCTTAAGGTACATGATTTGTATGCTTAAGGTGCGCCATTTTAAAATTTTAGGTGCGTGGTTGAAAGGTTAACTGGCTTTGAAACCAAATGTAAAATATACATACATATATATATATATATATATATATATATATATATATATATAAAATTGAGAAGAGAGAGAGAAATATGAATAGATGTTTATTCACTTGACGATTAAAAAAACATAACTTATTTATACTAAATGATAAACTAACAAAACTATCTAAAAATTAGGAATTAATGCTCCATGAACTACTGCACTTCCCACGTACTGCTACTTCAAAGCCACATTCACATTCCCATGCATTTTCTTGGTTTAATAATTATAATAATATTATTATTATAATAAACAATGATAGGTTATTATCATTATGTTAGTTGAGAAAGTATGTATGAAGAGATACTATATTGTAACAGAGTTAGTAATACTCAAAAAATTATTATGTAGGTCTTAAAAGAAATGTCTACCTCAAAATTTTAAGAGTGAGAATAAAACTTGAGAATCGACGTAGTAATTTCTTATAACTCGTTCCAAGAAACCCGCAACTCGCCGCAAGTGAATAGAAGACCAATTCTTTTACGTAATTTGTCACAATCGATACATATTCCTCGAAATTTATGATGAACTTTGTCAGTTGACTACGTCTCTAAAGTGAATGGTCTTCATTAATGATAATATATATTTAATATAAATATAAATTTGTGATATTTTTAAGGGTGAATCAACGATTTGGTCCCTCACTTATTTGCGACTTGTCAATGTTGCTCCTGAATCACGTATTCATCGATTTAGTCCATGAAAATAATTGTTTTTCGTCAAATCAGTTCCTATGGCCGTATTCCGTCAAGTCTCAGGCGAGAGCTCCGATTTGTCCTGAGCATTTTGGTATTTTCACACCTTCTTCTTCATTAACTCCGACCAAGCTTCACCGGAGAAGCTCAAGCTCGCCGGAGGGAGCTCCATCTCTTCTCTGCTTGTCGAAATTAGCTCATCCGCAGTAGTGATTCATCTTTCTTCGACGACATTCCACCGTCGCCGACGTCAGCTTCACCTCCGATTTCCAAGAAGATACGCCGCTCTTCCTCCACTTCTCCTGTTCTGTTCTCGGTTGTGCCGTCACCGACGAGCCTATTTGATCAGCTAATTATTGATCAGAACAAAACAAGTAGCTAATTATTGGTTCCATGGCTAAACTGCGGAGTAATGACGAAATGAGTTTTTGGGGATGAAAAATTAAATTCAATACTAAGTAATTACAGTGACGAATAAAGAATGGTACAAATCATAACTTCTGCATACAGTGAATTGACAGCAATGAATCAGTCCAAAACAAAGTCCAAAGATCTGTATGTATACATGTATATGTATTTCAGTGATTGCACAAAATGGTACGAACCTTGCAGTTATTACAGGATCTCTCTCCGGGCGGCGTATCCGTACTGCGATCGGCGAATATTCTGCTGCCGCTTCTTGTAAACCAGCGCGCCGGGCCCTACGACGCACACGCCGGCGATGACTCCGACAGCGATGCCTGCTTTCTTACCCCCGCTCATTCCACCGCCGGAAGATTCACCAGCCTGTAACTCGCTTGCGTGGCTAACATCGTTTGCATCATCAGCATCGGGAGCTGGAGCAGGGGACGGAGACGGAGTAGACTCCTCCGACGGCGCTGATCAAATAGGCTCGTCGGCGACGGTGCAACCGAGAACCGAACCGGAGAAGTGGAGGAAGAGCGGCGTATCTCGGAAATCCGGCGAGCTTGAGCTTCTCCGGCGAAGCTTGGTCGGAGTTAATGAAGAAGAAGGTGTGAAAATGCCAAAATGCCCAGGGCAAATCGGAGCTCTCGCCTGAGACTTGACGGAATACGGCCATAGGGACTGATTTGACGAAAAACAATTATTTTCGGGGACTAAATCAATGAATACGTGATTTAGGGGCAACATTGACAAGTCGCGAATAAGTGAGGGACCAAATCGTTGATTCACCCTATTTTTAATTATTTTTTTCTTTTTGTTTGGAAATAGTTTTCAACCAGCAATAGACGCGCCTCAGTTAGAACCTCACAAAAAATTTGTCATATTTTTTATTATTATATTAATATAACTTAGTATTAGTACAAATCTCAAAAATTAAAAGATTTAATAATATTACTTCTGATCTGAACAAGAATGAAAATATGTTGATATCAAGGTTGCAAAAATTATTTGAAATCAGGTACTCTAATATGAATACGTTATGAGATGTGACTTTGTGTATTGTGATTGATTCTTTAAATCTTTATACAATTTACAATTCTAAATGTTTTTAGATTAATATTTAATATTTTAATACTAACTATTAAAGTATTAAATATTTTATAAATACAAAGTCTTAAATAATCTTTTTTTTTCAAAAACTTTTAATTTAAAAAAAAAAAAAAAAAAAAAAAAAAAAAAAAAAAAAACGAGCGCCTTGGCTCCTAGCGATTTTTTCACACTTTAGTTGATATTATAAGTTGTATTTGTTATTTGTACTTGTGTTGTTCTTTCACACGTTTTTCAAATTTATCATTCATATCTTCACTTTTTTAAGACTATTGACTCTATTACAAGGTAGTATCTGTTCAATACTTTCTCTAACTATTGCAGTTCAAAGAGTCAATACCTCACTCGATCATGTGACCTTCCCTTAAGGGGAGTCACAAAGGTGTCATCTGAGCACAAGGTGCTTGACATTTTTTTTTTAGAGTTCATTCCATTTTTAGTTTAGATTTATAGGTAGTAGTCTATTTTTAGTCATTTTTTATCAGAACATCACATTTTGGTCCTAGTATTATTATGAAATGACCAATTTTGGTCCTCAATCAAAAAATCGTTAAAATTTTGTTAAATACAAGAGTATTTCGATCTTCAATTATGAATTTTTTTTAAAAAAAAATAAATAAACATAAAAAAAAATATAACAAGTCAATGCACTTTGTATTTAAAAGATCAAAATGACATTTTATTTAACGAAATTTCAACGATTTTTTTGAAAGAGGACCAAAATTGGTCATGTCACAATAAGACTAGAACCAAAAGAGGATGCTCTGATAAAAAAAGAAATAATAGTGGACTGCCACCTATAAATTGAAAAGACCAAAAATAGAATTAAGTCTTTATTTTAATATTAGTCTTTAACTGAAATTAAAAAATTGTTAGTAGTATAAGTTGCATTAAATACTTATATATTTCATATTTTATACTATTTGCATTGTATGTACATTTATAATTTATTACCAAGCTAAGTTTTCCTCAATATTTTTCATTTTACTAGTACCAGCTACCATTACTATATAAAATGCAAACACATGAATACATATATCTATATGTAATTTCTATAAAGAGTTTTTTCCCAAAATGGTCCCTCGACTATCACTCATTCTCAATTTTGCATTTCGACTTTTAATTGCACCCAATGTGGTCCCTTGACTTTTAAAAACTCCCCCAAATTGGTCCTCCGTTAGAAATTCCGTCTATTGAGTGTTAAAATGAAGGGCATTTTTGTCCCTTTACCTATTATATGCCTAATATACTCTGAAAAATAGTCGAGGGACCATTTTGGGAATAGTCGAGGGACCATTTTGGGAAAAATTCATTTATTTATTTCCATATTTTTAAGACTATCATATTAGAATTTCTATAGATTTTTTTTTTCTTACAAATATAAATATTATTAAACTTTCTCTACAATTTTTTCCTTCTGTCTAAACATACAAATTTTTTCTCTATCCTTATCAAGTTTTACAATAAGTTTCGTACTTTGGTAAACAAGTTTAACTTTCAAATTTAAGTTTATTAATATTCATATATAAAATACAAACAAACTTCAAAATGACAACAACTTGTAATATTGAAAAATGATGAGGCTTTAGGTTTAGAATGGCTTGTTTTGTGCTAATTATTTTTGCATTTGGTTTATTTTACTTGTCCTTTAACACATAAAATTGGCAATTTATATCCTACACCACGGCACGCGTTGCACTGTGCGCCCAGATGCAAAACGACGTCGTTTTAAATTTTTTTTTTTTTTTTTAAATTTCTCGCCCCAGTGAATGGCAGTAATTTTTTCTTTAAAAAAAAAACCGCTGTTCAAAAATGTACATAATGTTATACTAGAATACACATAATTGTATACATGAATGTACATAATTATATAACAAAATATACATACTCTTTTTAAA